TAAAAAAAAAAGACAAGCGAAACTAGAACATTCAGGAGCTCTAACCGACGTGCGGGAAAGAGACTGTGAAGATTTGACATGGACCAAAGTAGTTTATAGCAGTAAATTTTATAACATGGACTTGGAAGTTTGAGGATGGCGGAGGATAGATCATAATGGATGAAATTCGTCGGGGAGGCCAAGGCCTTACAAAAGGTCTGTAGTGCCACGGAGTAAAGTAAAGTGATATGGACATTTAGAATCTGTGACAACAGTAAATTTCCCTTTCAGTTTCAGCTGATATAAAATGTTCAAGCAAGATCTTGTACCATGTAATCAGTCACTAGGCCATTAGTTTTATTGAATAGGCAAGCCTATTCAGTTTGTATTTTAGGTAACTAAAAGATCACTTAATTCGTCCGTTAGACAAGTATTTGTTTAATTAGTTGGATATATATATATTTAACAGATTACTTATTTTATGAGTTTGTGCTTTTGTTAGTCGAATGATTAGCTGCTTAGTTCCTTCCGACCTTAAACTGAATTAAATATACGTTAACATCTAGAATTCGCAATGAATATTTTATACTTTTGTGCAATTGCAATAAAAGTGTGTCTTAGATCTCACATAAATACGCTGACGTTTGCTTGTGTTGCAGATCATGAACTCTGCCTACTCTTACTTCACGCTGCTCAAAGAAGTCAGTGGAAAGTAGGTCGGTTGAACGATTATAGTGCACAATATTTAACTGCCGGAAGACAGTTTCTCGGCGCATACTGTAGCATCAGAACGAGTTGTATCTGTTGGTCTGCGCAATATTCATGTCGCACCGATTTCATTAGCCTAATTTTCATGTTTTATAACAGACACAGATCCTTAAATTCATACTGAGCTCCTACAAAAGAAGTCTCAGCACTAGAAACGTCTTAAGAATTCAAAACATGATTGAGTGTAGCTGTATACGAATAATATCGAAAGAAAAGTTTGTGTGGCTAATATATATATATATGTGCATAACTTGTGCAGGCCATTTTAGAGAAACGTAAATATATGCACACTTCAAAGGGTTAGAAATTACGTTCTGTGAATACCCCGTAATTATGTATTATGTATTTTGTAATCTTCGTACTCAGTGTACAAAATGCTGGGAAAGCCCGAGAGATCGTTTGGACACAGCGAGAACAATTTCTGTCCTTGTCAGGAATCAAACCCCAGCCGTCTAGCCTAAAACCAATCACTTTACGCACCAAGTTACGCATAGGGCACAACTTACACACTTGCTAGAAATAATCTGTGAATGTTTAACAGAAATTAATATATTTAAGTCGATCCCAGTATCTGCTTTGTCTTCGAAAAAATAGACGCTGTTGTAGAGAGTTCGAATCCAGCACAAAGCACTGATATCTGTATTTTTCCCACCAAAACCTATATCATCAATCCCGCATCCCCATAATCATCAAATTTGGGCAGTTCTGGCATTCCAAGCAGATGTACCTCTTACTGCTACATAATCTTTGGAAATAATCCCTGTAATTGACGGAATCTTGAAGCATTCTAAAAGAATACTCAATCTTATTGTGAGTCATCCCATTGGAATAAATCGGTGTTGTTCTCGGATTGGGACGCCGTGTGGACTTGTAGGTAGATACAAACGTTTCGGAGAAACATACTGTATCTATCTTCAGGGTTAAAGTTGCATCTAACAGCAAACAATTGTATTTAGGGTAAAAGGTGTATGGTATATTTTGAATTAATCTTAGGAACACATAAATCCAAGCACAATTAAGCTTCGTTTAGCATCAGGAATAACGCACATAAATTATTTCCAAGGATATTCTGGCGGCCATTATTGTTTGTTTAATACGACGCAGGTGTTCTCATATCGAACACTTTACAGTTCAAAGGCAATGTGTTCACTACACAGCTAATAACAACGAAAACAACTGTGAACATTCAAAAACTGCGTTTTGAAAGGCAGGCCTGGTATACATTCTTATAGGCTCCCAATTTGTAGATATTTATAATAAATAAGAAGCTGGTATCGCAACATATTTACTGAAAGCAAAGCAAGCTTAATTACAAAGCAGAAAATGGACGGATATGTCAATGCAACACAATGCTGTTTTTTTTGTCAAAACACTGCTAATGTACCTGTGTCACAATAACTTCATTAGGCCTATGTGTTTACAAACTCTTTTGTATGTAGTGTTTCCTAAGGACGATAAAAATGTTACAAAATGTACTGCAAGTCTAATGATATTTCTTCTAGTCACAATTTCAATATATGATGGTGTTGTGTTTACAATTTTTTTACTTTCATCCCATAGATTTACACGTCTAAGCCGACAACTAAATGATCGGTCATCCTTCTTCGCTTTCAGTCTGTATGCAGGCTTCAAATTCGAAAATACTTAACGGATTATGATCAAATTGGAATTGGTGGTGTCAGTGGAAGGAGACACATTTGTCTCCAGAGTGATGGTACAGACGTGGAGGACCTTCGACCACTTCTACATCTTCATACTGCACTTCTCTGCAATTCTAATTTCTTCCCGCTTCTGCCACCAATCAGGACTTGGGCTTCAAGAAAAACAAAGTGCCCTGAGTTTGTACGTTTCAGCCGAGTTGGTTGTAAATTTCGTAACGCTAATCACAATTAGCCTGTGTTCCGTAGATTTATAAGACGAAAATGTAACTAAAGGCCGCCATTCGACCCCTGTAAGAGCCAGTGTGAAAAGTCAAAGCCTTCACGCACTATTTCGTTGTGTCATTTTATTGAGAGGAATCCTAACCCCATACCAATCTCCAAGCTTGAGGACCACCCCTTTTCGACTGTGCGCGATTATACCTAGCCAGATAAATGTTTTGCTCCTGGTCCTAGAGCGAGGAAGTTGGCGCGGCGGCAGGCAGGTGTGAGTGGTTCAACGAATCAATCAGATTCCGGAATTCGATTATCCCCATCATCATGAGGGCACAGCGCCCGGCGAGGCTGTCAGTGGGACCATTCGGGACACTGTCGCTGGAGCTGTTCGGGAAGGTATGTACCCGTTTCGGTTCACTATGCTATGGAGAGAAGGATGCTTGGCCCCAAGACAGATGAGACTGTGAGGAAAGAGAGTGGCACAGAATGTGATAAAATCATGAAGGATTAGATAAGCGGGCATGTATCAGGCGCAGTGAACAAGGAACGCAAATGAAACTGTATTTAAAAAAAAAAGACAAGCGAAACTAGAACATTCAGGAGCTCTAACCGACGTGCGGGAAAGAGACTGTGAAGATTTGACATGGACCAAAGTAGTTTATAGCAGTAAATTTTATAACATGGACTTGGAAGTTTGAGGATGGCGGAGGATAGATCATAATGGATGAAATTCGTCGGGGAGGCCAAGGCCTTACAAAAGGTCTGTAGTGCCACGGAGTAAAGTAAAGTGATATGGACATTTAGATTCTGTGACAACAGGAAATTTCCCTTTCAGTTTCAGCTGATATAAAATGTTCAAGCAAGATCTTGTACCATGTAATCAGTCAATAGGCCATTAGTTTTACTGAATAGGCAAGCCTATTCAGTTTGTATTTTAGGTAACTAAAAGATCACTTAATTCGTCCGTTAGACAAGTATTTGTTTAATTAGTTGGATATATATATATTTAACAGATTACTTATTTTATGAGTTTGTGCTTTTGTTAGTCGAATGATTAGCTGCTTAGTTCCTTCCGACCTTAAACTGAATTAAATATACGTTAACATCTAGAATTCGCAATGAATATTTTATACTTTTGTGCAATTGCAATAAAAGTGTGTCTTAGATCTCACATAAATACGCTGACGTTTGCTTGTGTTGCAGATCATGAACTCTGCCTACTCTTACTTCACGCTGCTCAAAGAAGTCAGTGGAAAGTAGGTCGGTTGAACGATTATAGTGCACAATATTTAACTGCCGGAAGACAGTTTCTCGGCGCATACTGTAGCATCAGAACGAGTTGTATCTGTTGGTCTGCGCAATATTCATGTCGCACCAATTTCATTAGCCTAATTTTCATGTTTTATAACAGACACAGATCCTTAAATTCATACTGAGCTCCTACAAAAGAAGTCTCAGCACTAGAAACGTCTTAAGAATTCAAAACATGATTGAGTGTAGCTGTATACGAATAATATCGAAAGAAAAGTTTGTGTGGCTAATATATATATATATGTGCATAACTTGTGCAGGCCATTTTAGAGAAACGTAAATATATGCACACTTCAAAGGGTTAGAAATTACGTTCTGTGAATACCCCGTAATTATGTATTATGTATTTTGTAATCTTCGTACTCAGTGTACAAAATGCTGGGAAAGCCCGAGAGATCGTTTGGACACAGCGAGAACAATTTCTGTCCTTGTCAGGAATCAAACCCCAGCCGTCTAGCCTAAAACCAATCACTTTACGCACCAAGTTACGCATAGGGCACAACTTACACACTTGCTAGAAATAATCTGTGAATGTTTAACAGAAATTAATATATTTAAGTCGATCCCAGTATCTGCTTTGTCTTCGAAAAAATAGACGCTGTTGTAGAGAGTTCGAATCCAGCACAAAGCACTGATATCTGTATTTTTCCCACCAAAACCTATATCATCAATCCCGCATCCCCATAATCATCAAATTTGGGCAGTTCTGGCATTCCAAGCAGATGTACCTCTTACTGCTACATAATCTTTGGAAATAATCCCTGTAATTGACGGAATCTTGAAGCATTCTAAAAGAATACTCAATCTTATTGTGAGTCATCCCATTGGAATAAATCGGTGTTGTTCTCGGATTGGGACGCCGTGTGGACTTGTAGGTAGATACAAACGTTTCGGAGAAACATACTGTATCTATCTTCAGGGTTAAAGTTGCATCTAACAGCAAACAATTGTATTTAGGGTAAAAGGTGTATGGTATATTTTGAATTAATCTTAGGAACACATAAATCCAAGCACAATTAAGCTTCGTTTAGCATCAGGAATAACGCACATAAATTATTTCCAAGGATATTCTGGCGGCCATTATTGTTTGTTTAATACGACGCAGGTGTTCTCATATCGAACACTTTACAGTTCAAAGGCAATGTGTTCACTACACAGCTAATAACAACAAAAACAACTGTGAACATTCAAAAACTGCGTTTTGAAAGGCAGGCCTGGTATACATTCTTATAGGCTCCCAATTTGTAGATATTTATAATAAATAAGAAGCTGGTATCGCAACATATTTACTGAAAGCAAAGTAAGCCTAATTACAAAGCAGAAAATGGACGGATATGTCAATGCAACACAATGCTGTTTTTTTTGTCAAAACACTGCTAATGTACCTGTGTCACAATAACTTCATTAGGCCTATGTGTTTACAAACTCTTTTGTATGTAGTGTTTCCTAAGGACGATAAAAATGTTACAAAATGTACTGCAAGTCTAATGATATTTCTTCTAGTCACAATTTCAATATATGATGGTGTTGTGTTTACAATTTTTTTACTTTCATCCCATAGATTTACACGTCTAAGCCGACAACTAAATGATCGGTCATCCTTCTTCGCTTTCAGTCTGTATGCAGGCTTCAAATTCGAAAATACTTAACGGATTATGATCAAATTGGAATTGGTGGTGTCAGTGGAAGGAGACACATTTGTCTCCAGAGTGATGGTACAGACGTGGAGGACCTTCGACCACTTCTACATCTTCATACTGCACTTCTCTGCAATTCTAATTTCTTCCCGCTTCTGCCACCAATCAGGACTTGGGCTTCAAGAAAAACAAAGTGCCCTGAGTTTGTACGTTTCAGCCGAGTTGGTTGTAAATTTCGTAACGCTAATCACAATTAGCCTGTGTTCCGTAGATTTATAAGACGAAAACTGAGGTGAAAGTTTGTTTTCATTAGTAATTAAAGTGGGAATCACTCGTACCTGTAGACGCCATAGCCTAATCAGAACATATTTAGGCTCCATAGGGTCTATACATAACATGGAACACCGTTATCAGACGATATTTTTCTTGTAATATAAATTTAATTTTAAAAGTTACTTCCGGCCTCTGCGTGCACCCAATTTATAAAGACTGATCCATTAATAGTATTCAAGAAAACTTGACTTTGTTCTGAGAATCCAACGAAATGCACAACTAAATTCTACAGGAGTTATTCAATACTAAAGCAAGCGTTATGCATAAATATAACTGTTAAAGGATGAGAGAGAATCAATTCAGCAACAAACACATTAAAACTTTTATAATTTGGGGGATAATTCTATAGTGTAATATAAAAATAATGATAGCCATGAGGGTAGAACAGGTAATGTAGTTTCTTCTTGGTTACTCCCGAGTCACTTCTCTAAGAATCGTGAAGTACGAGTAAGCTGAATTCAAAACCTGCAACAGGAAAAACGTCGGTAGTCCTGCAGTGCGTGTCTAAGTAACTATAGCATTAATTAAGTAACCAGATAAGAGACTAGGTAAAAAGATGACTAAATAACTTGACAATAGACCATATAACTGAGTAACTTTATTGACTGACCGACTGGTTACCTAGCTAACCAACTATCTAAAATGCAATCAAGTTAACCGATCAACTACTTAAATGTATAATTAACTAACCAACCAACTTTCTGACAGACAAAGAACCGACAAAATGGCAGACTTATTAGTCAGTCAAAACAATTTAATTCAACTTAATGCAAGTTTATTTATGTTCAGTGATAGCCTCCTTCAAATGTCATTTAATTAGTTGCATCTTATCTTGTTCAGTTATTTATCTACTTATTTTTGTTTTCTAGTTACTTGGTTGCCCACTTGCAGTTGTATACATCGTCTGTTGACAAGGCATTTATTTACTTCGATAAGTAATTAATTAAGTAATTAGTGTCCGGTCAGTCACTTAGCATGACACGTGACAGTGTTACGCACAGTAGCGAACAGCTCCAGAGACAACCACCCGAACGGGCCGGCGGATAGACGCGCCGGGCGCTGTGTCCTCATTATGATCAACGGAATGTTCTTTTGAAACTTCACAGGCTCGTTGTAGAACTCGACCAACAGAATCGATTCACCAACTCTC